ATATCTTCTAGCATATCTTCTGACATCCTATTTGGTATATCTTCTGGTATTCTACCTCACATATTTGTTGGTATATGTCCTGACATTCTACCTGACATATTTTCTGGCATATGTTCTGGCATTTTATTTGGTATATCTTCTGGCATCCTACCTGACATATTTTCTGGCATATGTTCTGGCAAACTATTTGGTGTTTTATTTTCCCACCTGCCAGGTGAGGGTTGTTAAATTTTATGTCAGTTGCCTCCTCCTGCCTCCTCCTGCCTCCTGCCTCGTCCTCCTCCTCCTCCTCTCCTCCTCGTCCTCCTTGTCATCCTTGTCGTCCTTGTCGTCCTGGTCGTCCTGGTCGTCCTCGTCGTCCTCGTCCAACTGCGACCCGCGATCCACAGTATTCCCTGCCGGACCTCAACCACGACCATCCACGCCCAGTGTTCCCTGCCGGACCTCAACCACGACCAGCCATGCCCAGTGTTCCCTGCCGGACCTCAACCACGACCATCTACGCCCAGTGTTCCCTGCCAGACCTCAACCGCGAGTATCCACGCCAAGTGTTCCCTGCCGGACCTCATAAGATATGCCAGATAGAATGCCAGAAAATATGCCAGATGGAATGTCAGATAGAATGCCAGAAAATATGCCAGATAAAATGCCATGAGATATGCCAGATAAAATGCCAGAAGGTATGCCAGATAAAATGTCAGATAAAATGACACAAAATATGCCAGATAGAATCCCAAAAAATTTGCCAGAAGATATGCCAGATAGAATCCCAGAAGATTTACCAGATAATATGCCAGAAGATATGCCAGATAGAATGCCAGAAAATATGCCAGATAGAATACCAGAAGATATACCAGAAGATATGCCAGAAAATATACCAGAAAATATGCCAGATAGAATGCCAGAAGATATGTCAGATAGAATGCCAGAAGATATGCCAGATAGAATGCCAGAAAGAATGCCAGAAGATTTGCCAGATAAAATGCCAGAAGATATGTCAGATAGAATGCCAGAAGATTTGCCAGTAAGAAAATGTAAAAATGTCACGGTGGGGATCACACGAAGTAAAGTAATTGGTATTTTTTCTGGTATATTTTCTGATATCCTATTTGGCATTCTATTTGGCAAATTTTCTGGCATTCTATCTGGCAAACATTCTGGCACTTTATTTGGCATAGCTTCTGACATTCTATTTGGTATACCTTCTGGTATTTTATTTGGCATATCTTCTGGTATATTTTCTGGTATTCTATCTAACATTCTATTTGGTGTTTTATTTGGCATATCTTCTGGCATTTTATCTGATATATATATCTTCTGGCATTTTAGCTGGCATATCTTCTGGTATTCTATCTAATATTCTATCTGGCGTTTTATCTGGCATATCTTCTGGCATTCTATCTGGCCGTTGAGGTCCAGCGGTGCCCACTGAGCTCGGAAGGTCCCAGGTTGAGGTCCAGCGTCCAGCGGTGCCCACTGCGCTCGGAAGGTCCCAGGTTGAGGTCCAGCGGTGCCCACTGCGCTCAGAACCTTGCGGTTGAGGTCCAGCCGTGCCCACTCAGATCGAAGCCGGCAGTTGAGGTCCAGCAGTGCCCATTGCGCGCAGAAGTCGTAAATGCTGATGTTTTTTTGCGCCTCGGAAACCGAAAACTACGGTATTTACGATGTGTTTTGCCTCTGGTAACAAAAATCAAGGTATTTGTAGTGTATTTTGGCCCGGGCCAAGCAAAAATACTGGTATTTACGGAGTTTTCACGGGCTGGCCAGCCTTCCCTATACTTCGTAAAGCTAAACTAAGGTAGTACCACTGGAGCTACCTTTCGTGATAATTATTATCAAGAGAAAGGATTTGGCCGGCAGCCATTAAGGCTATCAGCAATGTTGGGGTTAGGATAGGCCATCTGGATCCATCTGGGGCATGTTAATTAGGGGTTGTCTTGAGACCATGGGGGGTAGTGAGATTAGGGCATACTAAGATATCTAAGATACAATGCAAGCATATGCAAGCGAAAATATATCATAAAAACTACCGTGGCTGGCCGGTCAGCCCAACATGGCCCCACAATATGGCCCAACATACCCCCAATATCGTCAAGATGGCGCCGACACAACATGGGCCCAAGATCACTCAAAATAGCCCCAAAATACTTGAACCTTCCTATAACCAGGCCATCAGGCCATCACTGCCGCAACCTTGCCCCATCATGGCCCTTTTCTGGCCAGTGGCCGGCTGCCAGGCTTAATATGCTTGTGAAATTACGTAATTTTAGATAATTTTAGTATATTCTATTGAAATGTGAATCAATATTTTGGCGGGTCATCTTAAAATTGACTCTCAATCCGGCCCGATCTTTACTTTGCACCATTGAGTGCAGAGCCGATTCCAGGAAGACCCGGATTCATTGACCTGTGCGCTTCACGTATCTGCGCAATTCCAGCGATTTTCCTGACAGGAATTACAGCACACAATCACTCACAAGGCTTCGTTCTTTGCACATCGCATTCAAGTCATGGTCAGTTGTCGCACCTGCCAGTCCCACATCATGACCTTCTCAAAAAGCCAGGTTGGCAAATAACCTCCCCCTTCTGCCCGTTCAAGGCCTTAGGGATCCAACCAAGCGATCTGTCTCCGTTGCAGATCTGTTTCCGCGCTGGGGCAAGAACCACGGGTCAGGACAACCTCGGCAAATCTGGGGATGGGAATGGCAGATTTATTGTTGTGATATGTTGTTGACAACAAAGGGTGGGATGGGATGGGATTTATTGTTGTGAATGGCAGATTTATTGTTGGACATTCCAAGTCACTCCGACTGCAAAGTGTTCCCTGGGCTCCGAGCATCATTTTCACTACGAAAAAAAGTGATACCCTCTGCTCTCGCCAAGGCTGTTGCCTCAGCGACTGGACTGGGCCACCTAAATCTCACCCAAGGAAAAGTATGGTTGTCAAAAACATCAAACACGTCAATGGGTGCCAGCGATTTCCTGAGGCGACAGCCACGAAAACCTTAGCTGTTCAGCGATCATCCCCTTGCCAATTCACCCCATTCACCTGGAGGCTCCGATTTTATAGCGGATCCAGGAGACCGTGTATACTTTGGAAATGCCCTTAAGTGGCCATCTATAAAGTTGAAGCCCTGACAAACCTTTGCATAATCAGCCCTATAAAATCACAACCTCCTAGTAACCCATCAATATCATCAAGTCCAACAACACTACAAAATTGGTACATCCAGGTCATATGAAAAACTGTGCTGGCTCCAAATAGACCTCTATAAAATTGAGGCCATCCAAAATTGTTTGATCATGGTTGCTTAAAAAAAAGTGTCCCAAGTCGAATTTTGGGGCCCCTCTTTTTTCATGTGATTATATGACCCCCAATTTTATCTCATTTTAAGTGAGGCCTCAATTCTGTAGACTCCACCATGCGCATTGCCCATGCTTGAGCACTCTGATGTAGAACCAAAATGGGTGCTATAAAATTGGGATTTCATGGGGCATCACATTGCAGGTAGCTACAATCCTTTGGTGGCCAAGTTGTTTCATGAAACCATGCCTTGATACACTACAAATCAAAATTTACAACTAAACAAAACCAAACAAAACCGACATATTTCCTTCCCTATCGAATTGGAGCCTCATGTAAAATTGGAGCCCTGGGTCACTAAATTTAGGCACCAAAAAAAATTAGAATTAGTACCCCCAGGTTCTAGATAAAATCGGAGCCCACCAAAACAAGGCAAAAAGGGCAGCTAAAATTGAAGGGGTCCTGTATCGAAAAAACATTTTATTCAGCACCTAGGTGTCCCAATTCTATAGGAGAAATTGGCAAGGGGATAAAAAAATCTAAACAACTCCCATTATATGAGTCAGTTTAGCTTTTAACATCTTTTAAGCATCCATGTTCGGTTGTTATCATTGTTTCAAATGGTATTGTCTTAGCAGCATTATCGAACAGTTTTATGCAACATATTAAAGTATCTATCAATATTAGTTAGCCAGATAGGTAGTTAGTTGGCAGTTAGTTAGTTAGTTAACAGTTAGTTAGCTAGCTAGTTAGTTACTTAGTTAATTAGCTAGTTAGCTAGCTAGCTAGCTAGTCAGTCAGTTTGTGAGTGAGTGAGCTGGGATGATAATTATGTTCATTAAGTTCATTAATGTTTATATTGTATTATTAGTTGAAAATTAATTGCGACCCATCTCTCATCCTTGGCAAAAATTCAGCACCTGTCCAAGGCGCAATCGTGTCAAAGTCTCCTCTTGTGCCACTGATGACCTCGGTTTTTCAAGATGAAAACAACTTGGTTGTTGCTGGGCCGCAGAAAGTTGGTTTCAAATTTAGTACATCATAATTTATAATGAATATTATATGAATAACTAGGGTTTATGGATGTTTATTGTAGAATTAGTGGCTAATGGATGCTAATGGTCACTAATGTCCTTTTGGGACAAGTAATTAGAGGGGCCGGTTTGGCAATATTCGGATGGGGATGACCTATTTCTTTGATCAACTAACCAGTGGATAGAACATTCGGCTTGGGGATGGATGTTCATCATTTTTCATCCCCGTAAATCTGGTACGCGTATGATATGGTTTTACCATGTTTTACCCATCCTAAATTAGAATCATTCAATAGTATTCGATGAGTTTCTGGGAAACTTCTCAAAAAAATTGACCTTTCTAGTGGCTGCATATTATGTTTCTCTGATTCTGAACTTTCTAGTTGAGGCTGACTGCATGAACTGAGGACTGGGCTGAGGTCCTATTCTCCTGTCATCGTCTGAATATGTCTGAATGCAATTCGAGTCTGCTTGGTTCTCGTCAGTCCTCTGCCGACAGATCTTTGCTCACAAGGTGGATGTGGTTGCGGCCCATTGTCCTACCAAGAAACTAGCTAGACGATTTCAAACACTCATCATCTGCGTACAGTAAGTTGAATTGAACTTGCAAACGAGGAATGCTGGTGTAGTCAAAAATATTCCAGCCTCAAACCTTCTTCTTTGATCCTGGGGCGAGGGAACGCACTGAGAACCGTGAGTTTCTGAATCAGGAAAGCAAATCATCGACACGATTAATTTGCGCGGAATGATTGGAGATGAATTCAGATCAATCATTATCCATCAACTTCATCAACCATGCAAGGAGCTGGCTCAGACATTCAGAACGATAACCCCCTTGTCATGCTGAAGCACATTGAAGCACGATGCAGTCCCTGAGGCCCGGTCATTTCCCACTTCGTTGAGAAGGTGCCATGACAAAGTGTCTGCAACTCCTGTGCAATGGGTCAAGTCTTGCCATCTTACCAACGGATCAACTGCCAGAATTCCATAAGCACCTCCGTCTCGGGAATCTCTTCCAGGAGCTCGGTATCCTCCCAAGTTGCTACGTTTCTCCGCATCAACTTCTGACAGAAAAGGTGGAGCCGTTGGAACCAGTGCCGTCCTGCACATGGTTTATGCTATGCCCCTGATGTGCTCGGATGTGAAGCTCCTCTGATGAGACCAAGGCAACGCAACGGCGCAACGGGCTCTAAGGACACTGCAACCGACTTTCAGACAAACCCTGGTACTATGGTACTACTGAGCTCCAGGCATCATTCAGGTCTTTCAAACCAAATCTCTTCTTCTCGTTCATTTCGACCAGGTCACGTATGTTCTGCATGACCGCAAATGCCGGAGAATGTCGGAGAAACATGTCGGCAATAGCGTCTGTGAATTTGTGTCCTGCTCCGTCAACCCTTTGGTCTTGAAATACTCCAGCTCCAGAATCTGGCAGGCGTCGATGAGTCTCAGGGGTGGGATCCATGAAAGGATAACCCTTGGCCAACTTCTGCGCTCAGCTGCTTAAAACATCTTAATTGAACCATATTGAAACAAATTTTGAACAAATCAAGATAAACACATCTTATGGCCACCCGACATAAGATGACATAAGCATATTAAGCTTCAGAGTACACAGCTGAAGTATAAGCAGCTGCCAGGCACCGCCTTGGCCACAGATACGTATCCGTCTTCACGGACTTCTAGGCCAAGCTCCACCTGGGCAGTTGAGACCAAAGGCAGAGACTTTTGGAATCCGCTGGGCAGTTGATGACTTTGTGGCTCTGATTTCTGGGTCCAGCTACAGCATTGTGCCGCAAGACTCCACTGAGGTATTTGGAGATCGCAACGGTTGGATCTTCATCTTCCTTCTTCTTGGCCTGGACAACAACAGTACCAACAGTGCACCCCTGGGCAGGCGGTCCCCGTAACCGCGCCTTGGCCTTCGCATTGGGCCATGGGGCGGGCCATGGCCATGGCTGCCATCCAGTCTTGGGCCAGGCGCTTCCTGCAGCAGGCGCTGGCACGGCAGGCGCCGGAGGCCACGCCTGAGCCTGAGAGGATGAAAATGAAATGAAAATACACAACACCTCAACTGAATTTAACGGATTTCCAATGATTTCGGTTGTCAGTTCACTATTTCCGACTGATATCCTTTGAGATCTGAAGTGAGTCTATTTGATGGTACTTTTGATGGTTGCAATCTCCAGTGGTCCCCATCTCCACCTGCTTCCATGTTTGTCGCACTTCGTTGCCTTAGAATGCTCCCAAACATCAGTCTTCAAGGATGCTGTACTGCGGTGCACTGGACACATCAGCTGCTGAAGTAGGGGAACGCACGTTTCTGCCAGTCAGGCTTTGCGTTCCCATCATGCCATTTGCCCATGGCGAGTTAAAACCTGCTGCCTGACTCTCTGTTGTCTGCACTCACTATGCTGGGAAAAGGTTAAACCGAATATAAATAAATAACAAGCAGCTTGACCACCTCTGTGCTGGACTTTGAACATATCTGAACTGTGTCTGTCTGCGCGTGAGTGGGCATAGGGTATACGTGTGGGTGTGGGCTTTAACCAGTCCTTCTGCACATTTCAAATCTGATCGGCTTGACCGACAAGCGTCTGCAAGGTTTCATACTAAGGATCTGCAAGAATCTGGCACATGAACGTGCCGAGACAGGGGAGTGCTAAACCAAAAGGGAAAATGCTGTTGGTTCGAACCCAAGAAGTCAGCTCCCAGATTCAAGATTTCCCATCATTTTGAGCCGCGAAAGGCGCTCCTTCTCAAATCGATAAGTATTCTACGATGTTCCGCGCCACTGCTCGCTTCATCTGCTTCGCAGTTGAGCATTGTGTTGCGCAAATCTCATTATCACGTATTATCGCGTCTTGTCAAAAACGAGACAGGACCGCCGGGAGCGCCCCAGCTAGCAACCCTTCAGCATCTTGAAATCCTGGAGCAAGTCCTTTGACAGTCCACGATTTCCCTGAATATCAAGGATCACGCTTCTGCCACAGCATGTGTGCAGAAAGTCTTTCATCGCAGCTGATACAGAAGGCTGGATGTGGCACCAACGTAGGCTGAGGACATCAAGTGATTGAAGTCCAACAGATCCAACAGCTTCTGTAAGTCCCTCCACTGCGTCGTTGGACACCAAGAATGCAGTGTTCCCTTCCAAGTCCAACCGTTTCAGTGGAGACATCTGCAACAAAGCACCGATTGCTCGCGTGGATTTTTGGTTCAAATGGCATCTGCTGAGCCCAAGGACCTGTAAATTGGGCGCTTTGGCAGAGGTCATTGCTGATATCAATTCGTCAACTTCTTGGTCATTTTGCAGATTGACATTTGCCAAATCAAGTTCTGTGATAGCCCGAACTCCCGCAAGCAAATTTCGAAGTCCTGTACGTCCAACATCTGTCAGTCGCGGGTGGCAATCGAAGTTGAGACATGGCCGGCTGACCGCAAGAGCTTCGCCCAAATGATTCCGACCGATGGCAAAGGCATTTCGGTAGAAGGGGTCCTTAGTGAAGCTTTCGACGAAGTTAGTGCTCATCACACGTGTGCCTTCCACATACTATACATGTTGCCTTCTTGACTTTTCAGCATGCTCTCAATCTATTACCCTCAGGCAGGCTCGTTCAAATTGCAGCTGACAACAGAGTCCCTGCTCCAGAAGCTGTTGCGAAGGCCTTGCAACAAGGTTCACATTGCTACTCTGAGGCGTCTCCATAGACTTGTCTTTACTTCCTATAATGTAGTAAACCCTAACATAATATATGATAAACATCCAAAGGCCATAGCCTTACCTCATTTTACTTACATAGTTATCATAAATATTCATCCAAATATACCCAGCTGGGATTTGTTATAGGGTAAACACCAGATATCACGTTGGAGCTGCCCTGGAATTTCTCCATGTCCAACCTGATTTCAAAGCCCGAACAAAGAGAGCTTCCTGGAAGCTGAGATGACCTGGCAAGCTGATGATTCAGCAGTGGATAGAATGGGGTACAATGATCCAATACTATCCAATACTCGATTTTCCCCTGCTAAAACCGACCTATCAGCGTGATCGAAGCCACCCTTCCGATTCTTTCACTGGCTTGAGCGATGATTCGCACATGATTCGGCATGTACTGGGGCGCCCAGCTGAATTGGAATTCTCCTGTGGCATGGCCCAAAGTCAAGATTTTGACCTCAGGAACAAATCGGCCTGGTGATTTCAGCCTCCAGGAATTCACAGTTCACATCTCAGCTTGCCATGCTGTCGCCTGGGGCATTGGCCAAGGGAATGGATCCATCCTGCAAAGGGTTGGTGATCAGAGCTTTCGCTGGCAGAGGGACTGTTTGGTAATCGGGTCTTGTAGGTACATGGGACTGTGGCATGCTATGGCATGCTGTAGATGTGCGAGTTCAAACTCCAAATGCAGTGGAAGGTGAAAAGTGAATACAGCAGGCTTAAATGCACTTGTGACTGAGTTGTATCCAATCTGCAATCCGCTAAATCCACTCTTGAATCATCAATTTCCCCATTTAAATCATCATAAATTGGGGCTTAATCAGGTAAATCCCGTTGAGCAAAACAACGGCTTCAACGGCTTCAACTTTTGCCATCCCTGGCCTCAAGGAGCTGAGACCAAAAAGGCGGCAAGTGAGGTTTCCCCTCGGCTGGGATCTCCAGGACTTGTCCAAATTCAGGGATTGGAGCAGGCAGCTATAGCAAACAGCTATGCCTTATAATCATATATAATTTATGTAATCATAGATAATCTATATACTATAATCATGCATAGATAATAATCATATATAATTTATGTAATCATAGATAATCATAGATAATCTATATACTATTGGGTAATGAGAAATGATAATGAGCATTGATCCATATTGATCCTAGTATGTTCATGGTTTCGCTACTCGATTCGATCCAAGGTGCTTTCAGTGCATCTTCCAGATCTTCTACCTGCAATTCCACGTGTGTACGTGTGGAGCATCTGCAGTCGAAGCATTTCCAGCCCCATACATGGAGCGTGTGGAGTGTGAGGTCAACATCTCTTTAGAGCACGTCATTAAAGACTATGATATACTACGTATGTTTATTACATTTTATTAATATTAAACATAATTCCCCACCTGCCAGGTGAGGGTCTCTAGATTTTAACAAAGGTTCAAGTCCTCCTTCTCCTTCTTCTTTTTCTCCTCCTTCATCCTCTCCTCTTCCTCTTGCGCCTACTCCTGCTCCTTCTTGTCCTCATCTCCGCCTTCTCTCTGCCTTGTCTTGCTGCCAGCTCGTCGTGACTGCGGGGTGTGCTAGCGAGCAGTGGAGGGCGCCTGGGCCCGAACCCATGCCAGAGAGAAGGCCAGATAGAATGCCAGAAAGAATGTCAGGATGCCAGATAGAATGCCAAAAAGAATGTGAGAATACATGCCAGATAGAATGCTAGAATGAATGCCTGAATTGATGCCAGATTCTGCCAGAATAGATGCCAGAAAGAATGTAAGAATAGATGCCAAATAGAATGCCAGAATGAATGCCTGAACAGAATAGATGCCAGAGAACGTCAAAATAGGTGCCAGATACTATGCCAGATAATCTCTGCCCCCTAGTACTAAAACACCACCCCCCCAAATGGTAAATACGGTGATCTATTTTAATCATTTGGGGGGTATTTTGTATTAGGGCTTAGGGTGCCCCTAATATTCCAATGAAAAAACCCTAATAATAAAAAAACATCAAATTCGATTAAATCTCTTATTAAAATATATATATATATATATAATATTGCCAAAAACTGGAATTCGAAGCTTTCCCCTAGCATTCCAATGTTAATGATAAAAATAACTCGATTTCAAATTTGATTGCATCCCTTATTAAAGTCTATATTAAATATTGCCAAAAACTGGATTTCGAAGCTTTCCCCTAATATTCCAATGAAAATCTTAATGATAAAAATAAAAAGTAAAACTTGTGAGATGGGACTCTAATAGGAAAAAAAATCCAGGTGGCAATCTATTCTTACTAATAGGGGGTTGAACCCATTGTTTCACTATTATCCTGTTCCCCTATTGATTTTCAATTACCACAATTAAGAACGCAATTGTAACCCACCAAACAAAACAGAAATTACCAATCCATTCCTATTGTCATTAATTGGGGGAGTTTTAGTAATAGGGAGAAGAGATCAGAATGCCAGAAAGAATGTCAGAATATATGCCAGAAAGATCCAGAAAGTATGTCAGATAGAATGTCAGAGTGACTGAGTATATGGGAGAAAGAAGATCAGAAAGAATGCCAGAAACTATATGCATCTATATGCCGTATTATATACTTCCAGATGGTATGTCAGAAACTATGTCAGAATAGTCTGTCAGGGTGGGTACCACTCAAAGAAAGCAATTCCAATTCCAAGATTTTTAGTCTGCCATTCGAAACACACTCAACATCTCTCAAGAACTTTCCTTCGCAGGGCCTGAAAAGTGCGCCGTTTGGCCAGGTGGTTGGCCTTGATCGATGGTTGTCATGGTTCACAAGTAGAAAAACGATATGAAAAACACATCATCAAGGCTCCAACCACAGCAATAGCTTCAAGCATCTCCAGGGCTGCCTGGATCGATCTGCATCAAGAGTGCAAAAGGGCTGCAAGGATTCAGGAACTCTCTGAGCCACAAACTGGCACTTGATCCTGCAAAAGACCAGGCAAATTTCTACACAACTTATCTAAATGGGATATTCTGCGACACTGGGCATTGTCAGCTGCAAACAACAAGGGAGTTGCAGCATCGCTTGCTGCTTGATCTTTGGCTGCACCTTTTTCGACTAAGAAGCGGTAATGTCGAGGTGGCATGGACAAGCTTCGCCGGCGTGGATGATGTGAAGCTCATCGTGCTGTCGCGTCAGTCACGCAATCTCGGTCAGGACTGCTCAGTGAGTTGGGGTCTGCCCATTCCTGACCGGGACAGCGTGACGCGCGACAGCAGCGATGATCTTCACGGCAAGAGTTGGGGTCGACGGTCTGCCCATTCCCGACCAAGATTCTACACTAGACATCACCACCGTACAAGTAGGAACCTTTGACTCAAGGCGGCACCAATGTTTCCAACTGTTTTGATGCGCAAATCCGCTTTCCTCCTGCATGACAGGCTAGCTTTGAATTGGTCTTGTTGAAGGACATCACTGCATGAAAACCAATGGAGGCCATATTGGAACAACTGTTCCGGTCATAAGCGATCTTTAAGATCAGCATCGGAGAAGATGCAATTCAGTCATGGAGGTTGCGACACTTGGCATTGTCAGCTGCAAACAACAAGGGAGTTGCAGCAGTCTTATCGGCTTGATCAATGGCTGCACCAACTTGGACCACTACGCAATGTCGAGGTGGCCACTTCCAGCTGCTAGCAACAAGGGTATCGTACCAGCGTTTGCTCCTTGACCTTTGGCTGCACCATTTTCGATTCGGAAGCGGGGAGTGTTGAGGCGAGGGTTGCGAACTGTAGTAAACAATGGTGTCCATCCTTGGGCAAACTCAGGCTCGTCTGTTTTTGCTCCTGCCTCCAATAACAGTTGCATAAGTTGAACACGTCCCTGCTCTGTAGCATAAAACAAAGGCGTCTTGCCATCTTTGCCTCGCAAAGGGATTTCGTGGTTGTTTCAGCCATTGCCAGCAACAAAATCCTTTCCCCCGAGATGCCGAGATCATCAGGGACTGTGAGACTCGCCGAAGAAACACAGCTCCATCGCTGTAAGGCCCAAAGTGAAATGCAGACTGTTCTCTCTCTCTCTCTCTATTAGTATATGAACAGCTCATGTATAGTGTGTCGCAGTGCGTGTATATTAGATTTAGATATATTATATATATATACATGCATAATATGCGTATAATATATTACATACATATCACATTACATACACATGCCTCAGGTAATGGACAGAATGGGTACACATGGATAAATAGTGGCACAGCAAACATGCTAAACCAGTTCATACGCACACCAATCGTTTAAAATCTTGACAATAACAATCAATGCTGCACACTCGTAGCAATTCTTCAACCTTTCCAGTCTGGACAGTCTCCAACTGCAGCAAATGTCGCGGGCATTCATTCCACGACAACGTGGGTTAGGTGTGGCTAGGTGATACCGATTCAGGATTGGAACCAGTCCAACATGATCTCCGACGTGTGGATCGATGGATGATGGGATAGAACTCACCAAACATCAACATGTTCTTTGTTGATCGTCATCCTCTTGATTGTTGATTATTGTTTCTGCAGCCCCCCGGGCTTTTGGGTAAACTCTTATTTGTAATGCCAACCCCCGATTGAGAACCTCCTCCAATAGGTCAACAATGTCAACAACAAGGATTTTTGGGGAAAGTCAAAAAACACCCTGAATTCATAAAACCCTCGACCATTCACAGGAATAAATGTTGCTGGGTGCTGTGGTGCATATAATCACCAACGAGCTGTCAATTGCGTTGGAATCAGCTGGGAAGTGGAATCCATGATATCCATGAGATTTCATGAGACTTCCATTTTGATGAAATCAGTGTGGAATTTGCATCCATTAAGGGTCTACTGAGATCAATTTTGTTGAAACTAGCTCCTTATGAGTAGCTGCACAAAGGCACCCATGAAGGCTTTATTTTATGACATTAGCTTCATAAAAGCTTCATATTTGCATCCATGGGGGCTCATTCTTATGAAATCAGACATAGCATCTGTAAAGGATCATTAAAGGATCACATGGTATCAATGTCGTTCTGTTGCTTCAAATTCTGGCATTGTGTTGGTTCAAATCCCCACATTTTGGTTGGTGCACATCCACGTTTTTGCTATGGGTCCAAATCTGAGACCCGCAGAGAAGAACCAGCACTAAATCAAACGTGGCAAAGGAAAATCCCTGCAAATGGAGGTTGTAACGGTTGTAATGGGAAAATGAACTGTAATTAAATTATGGGAGATTTTCCATTCCCATGTTTGAATACGGGAGGGTACCAGTTTTGCTCTAGACTTTTATTTTCAGAGACTTGAATCATGGTCTTGATGTAGCAACTATAATATTTGACGACCCAGTGTGTGGACTATCGTGAACTCAAATTGAGCTATTCTCCAGTCATGTCTCAATTGCATCCCTCTCGCGCTTCGCAGCTGCCAGTCCTTTCCAAGCTGCCGTTGAAGAGTTGCCAGTATGCCCATTTCCTTCACGCCAGGACTTTGGGACCATCAACAAAAGTTCGGCCGGCATGGCGTATATCTGTCGCATGAATATTAACGATGTGTCCAAGATATTCCAAGCAGGTGGGACAATGACTTGAACTGAATGATAGCACAACTTAGATATCTTGGTGTGTCTGAAAATAGTGTACCCCTAAACCCAATGGTTAATGATCATTATCCCTATTAAATGGCTATAATTGGGAATATACCCTATTTTCAGACAAACCCATCTGACGATTTCTTGACCACATTACATGTGTGTTTCTCTCATCTGTGCAGGTCTAAGAGGTCAGCGTAAAGTTCATAGATGTCGGCCGGCAAATGCTGGACTTCCACGGCAAAAGCACAGGCCAGGACGGAGAGTAAAACCTCAGGATTTCGCATGATGGGTACCCTCTGGTAATTTAACAGTTCGCTATTGAAAATGGCAATTTATAGTTGATTTACCAATTAAAATGGTGATCTTCATTGATCTTCCATAGTTATGTTAGTTCAGCAGAGGGTAAATGATGGGCAAATGATGGGTGAAATGGGCCGTCAAAATCAACAGATTCAATACGTAACAGCACTTCTCCATGGTTTTTCGGCTCGGGATTTTAGATCAACAGGGGGAGGGATTTGAAGATGTCAAGGCTTTCTCAGAAATACTAGTCAATACTAGTTAGACCTAGTACGAACATGTATGAACAAAAGCTGTCCAAGCAACTGGCACTCGACATATTTCCTCAAATACTCTCATTCTCGCCTTGGCAGACTTGCAAACACTTGGAACTGCTGCATGGCGCAAACGAATGCAAGCGACATCTCTGTTGAGTTTTCATGTGCTTCATGTCATTGCCTCCAGCATAGCACCGAATGAGGGCTCATCACCTCCGCATGTTGTCACACTGTGATATGATGTCACAATGTATCCCTTTTGCATCAGCAAATCATGCCTGCTTGTTGTCCAGCGTTCAATGTCTTTTGCACAAAGGAAAAGTGCTCCTTGCCGGCGCGCCGGCATGGCATTGAACACCCCCTAGTTGGAACATTGAGACTGAGAATTGGGCCGGATCACTTACTGTCTATGTCCGCAGTTCAGGCCGCAAGGCTTCATAATCCAACATATTTTAACATGATTGAACATACTTGTATTATATTAGACGTCCTCCTCCGCTTGTCTTTCTCTCTATCTGTTCTGACCACTCTCCCCACAAACATCTGCCGGTCTCAACTTCTCCTGTACTCCGTTTCGCCTTGCGACAGAATGCAGGTTTTATGCTTGGGACTGGAGTCTAAAACACACCTTTCTCAGATCTCGGTATTTAAACCTATCAGATCGTACCAGCAGCAACTAGAATTGGCTTGATTTGTTGCACAACTCTGAACCCTCAAGGAGTGTCAGTCAAGAATCGGTCAGTCGCCAAGAAACTGGCCCTGCCTGAAGGTTTCCAAGCTTTGACGATGGTGAATTTGCACCTGGTCAAATTAAACAAAGGGCTAATTTTGCCCAAACCAAGACTACCTGCAAGTTGTTTCCTTGTCACAATTGCTTGAGTTTCTTGGAATAAGATTCTACTTGCCATGTTCCACCAGCCTGGACAGGATGAGAACTTTGTTGGTACAGCAGCGACATCCGACAGCTCACCCAGCGAAATCGAAGTGGGCCAGGGTCATTGAAGCGGCTGAAATCGCAGGCAGTCACTTGAAGTTTTGCCTCCTCGCCATCAACGCAGGTGCTGAAGCCACAAAAGAGCAACTCTAGCACTTTGGAGAAGGTCGAAGCTGATGGGCAAACGAAATCTGAGCGAATCACTCCAGTCTTTTTGGAGTGTAAACTCAATCGCCGTGACATGTTCGACTCAGCACTTCCCGCACTGTGTCCTTCCAGATCTTCCAGTGGAAGTTGCAAGGCACTCTGATCCAGTGCTGCTTCTGACAAAAGGCGAACCGCCAAGCAAAAAAACACTGCTGCCAGGACCTCGTGATCTGCGTGATCTTCAGACATCGAGGATGGAGCAGATTCGGCAGCTTCTTTGGCAAGGCTCAGCTTCTGGAGGCTCTCAGGGGAGAAATTGCTGTGGAAAATCTCTTCCTGATCCTTTCTGGCTGCACTGAGGGCCATGAGGTGCTTGAAGAACTCGTTCTGCTGCAGCTGTTTCTCAATGATCTTGTGCTGTTGGTCTTGACTCAGTGGCTTCAGATTCATGATGACAAAGTCCCTGGAGTACAGCCGCTTTCGGATCCCTTCGGGACGAGAGGTCACCAACAATGGGACACCCATCGGGACCAAGGTTTTAGTGACATAGTCCTCCACGGCCAGCTTCATGCTTGCTGCCTGCTACAGCTTCAAGATACACTTCCAGTCACTAGCAAATATGTTCTGCATCGTTCTACCTGATTTTCATATATTTTCATGGCGCCAAAAGCTTCTAGTGGATATTTATGGATATTTACTATCTTTTAATGTGTTCATGGCAGAAGCGTGGAAGCCACAAGCTGCATGCCGCCGTACATTACTGTGTAGAGCAATGGATTCGCTGCAGAAGTGCCTCATCAATTCCATCCAACATCACAATGAGGCTGCGCATTTCGAAAGCTTGCTCCAGCATGCTCCTGGCCAGTCGAGTAAGCCGAACTGCCACTGACAGTGCTTGACTTTTAGACCAAGTTGACTTTTCAGGCCTTGTGTCCCCGCTCGGAAACTCTGCTTGGATGTAGAAGAGAACCAAGTTGGATGGAGGACCCTCCTATGCAGATTTCATCCAACATGCACCAGCCAACAAACGCCGGAGTAAGACGATGTCCTGCGTGTGACATGTGGTGGGTGTTTCTGTCCAGTGACCACTCTTGCCATCTCATGTCCAATCCCATCAATCCCTTGCGCCTTGGAATTGGCTGCATGCTGTCGCAACATCCTGGCCTTTGCTGATTTTCTGAGCTCAGAGCAGGTGCAGAACTTTGGTGCGCTGAGTATGCTGCCAGCTTTTGGATCGGAATGAGCAAAGGCACCAGCTGCAACCTCTGCCGACCAGGCGATATTATTTAGACTCTAAAAAGGTTACCGTATACGAACTAAAAGAGATCTGGCCAAAACAAGTCTCCTCACCCAAATGGTGACAAGCGACACACCTACCAGAAAATCAATGTCCAGGTGCCCGGCTGGATCTCACTTCTTGATACACTCAATTCCTGTAGGATTTGCTGAGCTGTGAGGGTGCCTTCTTGAAAGCTCTGGAGAAATACACCAAACCACATCTTGCCACGATGCTTTACTTCGGGTGCTGAAAAGCTGTCGTACCAGCCTGTGCTAGCAAGAATAGCAGCTGCTGCATGGACCAAGTCCTTGATATGCAACATGATAGACATTGGAAAACTAGCTGACGATGTATCCGGATATCCTGCCGACTGGAAAAAATGCCAAACTAGGATTTCTGAGAGTATTCGTTCGAGGAAGAACCAGGTCAGAAGCGATTCAAACCAAGAACAATGATGTACAGCAACCCCAAAAAGACTCAACACTACAGAAACGTAAAGTCCTACAACATCCTACAAAAAATGCGTAAATGATGTGTCTATCGGTGGTTTCTATAGCATATAAAAAAGCATCACGAATTGCACTGCATTTGTCAAGTCGCTTTCCAGTGCCCGGCCCCGCACGAATCAGGATCGGCTGTGAAGAGTGAGCTCCATGGAGCCGACCTGCAACACAATGGTGTAGTCATTCCTATGGCCCTATGGTTTTAATATTAGTTTTAATACGTTTTACAGTAATCATATTGAAGCGACAAAAATTGTTGGTGTCCTGTTTTTGGACAGATTTGATGGATTTAATGGCTTGTATCTCAATGTTTCCATATATTTCCTGTATGTTCATGTTCATTTCAAGAGAATTATGATATGATTGTCTCTCTTTGTGCTTTCCCCACCTTGCAAGAAACGGGAAGGATGCAACAGCAAAGGCACCACGCCAGCAATATCCCGGACTTCAGCAAAGTCCCGATGCTGCACCTGATCAAAGTTCTGCCCGGTGCCAAAGGTTTTTAAAATGTGCGAAAACCCATATATATGAGGATAATGTCCTCGAATATTCGGAAGTATCCAGAACATTCCAGAACTATTCACAACATTTCACAACTATCCCAAACTATCCATACCTGTACCACAACTATCCAGACTGCATCAAACACATCGAACACAGCAAGCAATGTCCAGACGCAGGAGGCACCCCTGCAATGGCTTGTGCTCGCTTGATGGAGGATGCATGCCTCGATAAACGTAGGATGCCAGGCCAAATGGTTCAGAAGTAGCACATATCCGGGGGGAAGATTGTTTTTGCCAGCAGCAAATTCCAGGTTATATAGTTTATATATTGTTATATTGTGTTTTATCTAGTGATGCGAATCTGTAACATTTTAAGATGGTAATAGATGATTAGTTTCGGCACGAGAAAGCAAAACGTATTGGAATATTTGAATACAACAGCTTCCATCGCATATCTTCAGAAGCATTCTTACTCCCAAATGCTGCATGAATCTATCATTTAACAATATTTAATATATTTAACACATTTTAACACTTATAGCCCAACTTATAGCTTCTTACAGTTGCATTGAATGCATTTGGTCACCAGCTCCCCTGCGCTGCTCCATTCTATTCAATTTTATCTACATAGTTTTGGTTTTCTCGGGAGACCTTCCTTTTCTGACCATTCCAACCACACGCCCTGGAGGCTTGCCTTATCATTGTTGATCATTGTTTTGCTTGGCTTATCATGTTATGGAATGCAGTCAGGCCACAAAGCCGGAGAAGAAGTCCCATCTGAAAATTTCACCATGTAGCCTCAAGTCAAGCCATGAACTGTCAAACTGAACAGCGAGGAGTGCGAAGTCATTGCTTCCGGGTCGCGGCCATGCTTCTGCAGGTGCTCAACAACGCCCTGCCAAGGTATGCGTAGAGGCTGACATCATCTAAATGGACTAAAATTCAAGTCCGCAAAAATCAAATATAATCAAATATACGTAGGATATCAGGCTATCCATATGTTTTGATTCTGTTACATCATCCACTGAACGATAACTTTTTTATATTTTTTTTGTAGCTTCACTCTGTCATCGTCGCCTCCCGCCCCTGCGCCCAAACGCGGTCACCCAGGCGGAAGCTGCTGTCCGACACCCATTCCAAATCGTCGAAGGCCATATGCCTGGCACCAGCAGAACCATGGGGAGTTCAACCAACAACCATGGCGATTTCCTCTGAATAAGGATATATGATGATATATGTTCACCGGAACTGCAAAATATTGGGTTTTCAACCAACAATGAGGATTTGACCGAGAAAACCGTGGATGTACCAGGATTTTTCGACAAGTGCCATCACGTGCCCAATTGGTTCAGAGACTGCCTGCAAAGCTCCCTGGCCTTAAGGCATCTACATTGGGTTGTTGCTTCACCTCCATTTCGATGCGGACAATCTGCTCAGAAATGTCTACTCCTCGAGATGCAAAAAGAGAAAGCCGCCCGGGCAAAAATCTTTGCCAAATTCATCCCAATTCCACAGCAAAATCTTCGCCTCGAAAACCAAGGCGTACCAAGGACACCAAGGCACTGTTTCCGGTGATGGCATCCTCAATGTATCGGCCCTCCTGTGACAGATCCGATATGGGATCCGGTGGCCCTGGCCCTTCCCAAGCGCCAGCGCGCCAGGGGTGTCCCGTCCTGGGTGATCCTCCTGCAATACCTGCCAGGTTCAGCAGGTCGAATCCAACCATTGCCACAGTTGGGATTCCTTTTTCATCCTTTTTATATATATCCATTTATCATCATTTATCATATTATATCGAATATTCCATTTTTATATTCCACTATCTATAATAATTAATTATAATTATATATATATATATCCAGTGTTTTCATGAGGATGATGATAGGTTTTTCCTGTGAAAATTCACCATGTATACCTTGGACCTTGACCAGGGCTGTGCCGCCAGGTTTCAGTGCTCGGGCATCTTCAAATTCTTCAGCGCTGTTGAAGCGTTGGCTGCTGTGATTCATCTCCTAGATCTAGGCGCAGGTCGTGGCGCCATTCTAGTTGTGACATGGTGTGACCATGTCCTACGTCATGTCAACATATTAGGAACAAAATCCATTGAGATTCCTTAGCCTTAGATATTATTGGGAGAGTCCATGACTGTATCCTTTTGCAAAAAATTGTTCACAAGCCTCTTCCGCTTGAGTTACAACCAATTCGACCGAAGCACATTGAGGTCAATGTCCACATTCTTTTCATCGCCATCAGCGCCACGGCATGCAACTCCTGAAGCAAAGGGATGGCGTGGCGTTCACCCCATTGCTTGCCACGAATGGGTCTGACCATGTCATGACCAATGCAGCCAAAATTCGATGGCAGTTGCCATGTTTCCTGCCACAAATCTCGCGAAAAGAGAGCTTTGTACATCTTTGTACATGATTTATAGATATTTATAGATATTTATAGTGTTTCAATGGTTTCAACCATCCTTTTGGGGTCAAAACCTAGTATCAATTGGTGATTTCAAAAACAACATATCAGGCCCAAATATCCAAAAAGGCGCCTGTCAAAGACCTCCAACACTTTTGCATGGACAAGGTGTCTTCCATCGTGAAGGAGAAGAATCTCACTTCCTGTCAGGGAAGATCAATGCAAATGGTGCTCCACCTATTTCAGTAATTCATTTTTGTTCATGTTCGTATTTGTGCCTCAAGGCTTGAAGATTTTAGGCCTCCGGAATGCCCAGCTGCCCAGCAGCTGCCCAGGAGTGCCCCAGGCCTGGTACTCTCTGAATCTGGCTTGATCCCACCACAGTCCGTGGCCGCGCATCAACGATCTCTTCCTGGCCATTGTCCACCTTGACCAAGATCTCGCCCGTGTCCAGTTGCTTTACCAGCGTGGCAGAACGGTCCTCTTTTACCAAGAAAAACTGCCGATTGTCTTCTTGGATGTAAACGATTTAAAAGATAGTTTAAATCTAAAGATTCAAAAAATCAATTCAATAGGCTGGGAAATGTTGGGAATCCATAAGGTCCTGCACTTTCAGAGGTGAAGAAAGTCCCAAGCGAAGTCCTTGCTCACTGGTAGCATACGCCAACCTGCCAGTTGTTGGTGGATTTTACTCAGCAAACCCCAAGGTTCCCCAAGGTATACACAGCTTTCCTCAAAGAGCGCCTCGTGGGCTTGATGCGCAAACGTACACTGTGACATGTCTTCCTGGAGGAGCCAGGAAGGTCAATGAAATTCAATGAAGCAAAAACCTACCCATGACCACATTGGCGACAATAATGTCCTTTTGGTAAACATAGAGGGGCCGGGAGCTGGTACACCATCTATCATCATAGAAACCTGTTGTTAAAGGGGTTTCTTCAAACCCCTCTATTAATCAACCAACCAACGGGACCTCTTCCTAGCCCTTTGTGGCTTCATCGGTCCATCGGCAACTGGCAACATGCCTTTTATCTCGGCTCGCGGTCATCCACACCTGAAGTTGGACTGAACCAAAGCCCAAGCTGGCCTGAATCCGGGCCATTGGCGATCTGGGCAAATCATGAAAAATATGGGGATGGGTCAAAACCCTGGTACCTAGTGAACCCCAAAATAGCTGGTAAATGGATGTGAATAACCCACTAAAAATGTATCTATAGGTATTGACCCATACCCATATTGAAAAATCATCAAGCTCAATATTGAATGCCATTGATCATATTGATCTATGCAGTGCCTTCCTTCCCAAGTGATCCACATTGTGGGGCATTCCATGTCACAACTGCTGTCCCAGATGCCCCATTGAGCTGGCTCTGCCGCCAATGGGGGATATATTCCGGCCCCGCTTAGTCACTTCCAGTTGCAGCAAGGGCATGGCAAGAATGTCTGTCGCGTGATCTTTGACTGCACCTTGCTTCGACTAAGAAGCGGACAACGTCAAAGTGGCATGGACGGGCTTCACGTCGTGCACGCCATGCAGGACGTGAAGCTCATCGCTGCTGTTGCGTCACGCCCATTCCTGACCAAGATTCTAGAAAACTTTGACCCAAGGCGGCACCAATGTTTCCCTTCCAACGGTTTTGATGCGCAAATCCGCTTTCCTCCTGCTTGACAGGCTAGCGGCTAGCTTTGAATTGATCTTGTTGGAGGACATCAATGTATGAAAACCAATGGGAGGCCATATAGGAACAACTGTTCCGGTCATAAGCGATCTTTAAGATCAGCATCGGAGAAGATGCAATTCAGTCATGAAGGTTGCGAAGAAGGTTCGGTATTGTGAGCTGCACAAAAAAGGGAGTTGCACCAGTCTTGTCAGCTTGATCACAATGGCTGCACCAACTGCAACCAGAAAATGCACAATGTCGAGGTGGCCATTTCCAGCTGCAAGCAGCAAGGGTGTTGCAACAAGCAACAAGGGTGCTGCAACATCGTTTGCTCCTTGATCTTTGGCTGCACCATTTTCGATTGGGAAACGGGGAGTGTTGAGGTGCCGGTTGCGAACTGTATTAAATGATGGCGTCCACCCTTGGGCAAACTTAGGCTCGTCTGTTGCTCTTGCCTCCAGTGACAGTGCCGTAAGTTGAACACGTCCCTGCTCTGCAGCGTGAAGCAAGGGCGTCTCGCCATCTTTGTGTGCCTCGTTGGGATTTCGTGGTTGTTTCGGTGGCCAGAATTCCAAGAGCACCGGCTGAATCTTCGGTGGAGCCGGATCTACAACTTGATCATCCTGTATCTCATGCGAACCATCTTCAACCAAAAGTCTTTGCTTGAATCTTGAAATGCTAACCTTGCGTAACCTTAGCTGCCAAGGCTTTATTCCCTGCATTGGCTGTTTGGCCTTGCATTGCAGTTGTCAAGGACTGTAAGAGTCTCACCCGATGTCAGGAAACACACCTCCATCGCTGCAAGACCCAAGGTGAAGTCCAGAACAAAGACATTCACTTGTCTCTTTTTTTTTGTTCTCTCTCTCTCTCTACTAATAGTATATAATATATTATAATATACATAATATATACACACACTATGTATGTGTAACCGTATGTAAAAATCGAAGCATATCATGTTACTACATACTTACATAATATATATATATACTTACATAATATATATATAATTATATATATATACGTACCACAAAATGGCCTGAAACTATAGTTAAACATGGACAAATAGTTTCACAACAAACGTGCTTTAAAAAAACATCTAAAACCAGTTCATGTCCACACCATTGCACACCACTGCTTTACAATCTTACAATAACAATCAATGCATATCAATGCTGCACACTCGTAGCGCTTCCTCAACATTTCCAGTCTGGCAGTCTGGACAGTCTCCAAGTGCAGCTTAAATGTCACGGGCATTCATTCCATAACAACGTGGGTTAGGTGTGGCTAGGTGATACCGATTCAGGATTTGGAACCAGCCCAACATAAAGCACGTGTGGATCGAGGGATGGTGGGGTAGAACTCATTAAACATCAGCATTGTGAGGTTTTTGTCAGTCCTCCAAGTGGGTGAAAGCAGGACATGTTTGTTGATCGCTAACGCATTGACAACTTGATTATTGACAAAATATTGATGACTATTGACTATTGTGCAACCGCCATTTTTCTTGTCAAAACATCTTCAATTCGTGTCTTTCCAAGTCTCATTTGAGTCCTTCTGTTGCTTCTTCAAATTCTCGCATTCTCTCAAATCCACAGTTTTGCCACAGAGAGAAAAAACAAGATTTTGTAGTGTGAAGCACCCATTCTCGAGCTACCCTTCGTAATCAAACGTGGAGGAAATATGGGGAAATCCCATGCAAACGGTGGTTGTCATGATTGTAATGGGGAAACATCAAATCCATTGCCATTGGCGGTGAATTTCCAAGTGCTGATGATAGGAGTCAATGATTTCCTTCTGTCATCTGTGTGGGTCAGAGTGGGATTCCCTGCTCGTGGCTTACTTTCTTGTCCTCGCTAAACCAGTTGGGATGTCCTTTTGCAAAAATCCAACTAGTTGTTTTATGTTTTTTTGGGGCTGATTCCTCTATTAATCAACTGGCCGGTAAAGGAAAAGGATGAGACAAGTCAATTTTCAACGCTCAGGTCCTGGTGTGTGCAGCATCTGCGTCAAATCTTCGTAGCAAGATCTGTACCTTCTCACTTTGAATCTCTATAGCAAACTCATATGTGAAAAGGATAGAAAAGGATAGAAAAGGAATGAACGCACCAAAATCGCTTGCGATTCAGTAACAATCGCTTTCCAACAGTCACCATCTGACAAAAGGTGGCTGCCCTGTGGGAACGGTGCACATGCTCTCAGCATCCAGAAGACCTTCCGCATCCTGCGCGTGGCTTAGGAATCTGGCAAAACACTCCCTATGATTGTAGTCTTAATTGCGTCCAAGATAATTAATTATCATAATTATCTTCTTTGGGGAGCCTGTTTTCAGACTCAGACCAATTATGACCCATTCCAAAACACCAACATGATCTGCTCAAAACACAAGATGATCTGCAAAATTGCGGTTGAAATCGGTTGAACCATGTCAAAATCTGCTTGGAACAGAAACACCGCTATAGTCGGCTCGTGCCACAACATCATACAACATCCACCTCCCCTGACAAGCGCTGAATCGCATGGATAGAGCATTGGAACGCTGAGTGTCAAATCAGCTTGAGCATAGCAAATTGTGGCTCGTAAATTACGGTGGCTCAATATGCTCCCTAATAAACTCACAAATTTGGCACTCCTCAGGAACTCCACCATCCAAATATCCAAATTTAAGTGGGCAAAATCATTGAGGCATAGCCGGTTAGCTTGCGGTGCGCTTGATGTGAGCTCTGCCGTCCTGCCAGCCGTTCTCCATCCATCTTAGGCGTCCATCAAAGCCATCCTTCTCTGGGTGCAAAGTCCTGTGAAAGAACTCCTTTTGGGCCACAAAACTTCATGTCATCGTCATCCAAAATTCCAAGATGTGTATGTCTGAGAATTGGGTATATCATGGTATGCCTCCAATATCCTCCAATAATATCAATAATGGGCCAGTTTTTTTTCCACCATCAAATCTTGGAGCAGCCTATTTTCAGACAACACAACAAATCTTCCAGCATCTTCCAACAAACTCAATGCTCTCGGCCTTGCATCATCCGTGGTGAGTAGATCGCCCAGCTGCTTTGGCTGTGAATCCGTAGAACCATCCTGGAAGTCACGGCGAAAAAACATGCAAAAACCCTCAATAACAACGCCTCATATCCTTCATTGTCTTACAACTCTCACTGCAACAAATCGTGTTCCAGTGATTTCCAGTGCTAGAGAATCTTCCATTCAAAAACTGGCCAACACATTGAGCTGTCTAAACTTGTTCAGGGCATCAGAATGTGAAGCCATCTTGCGAGCAAGTTTCCACTAAGTTGATGGGTCCAATCATGTCGCCAGAGATGTCAGACAGAATGCCTAGCGGAATTAGCGGATACGGATATGCATAAACTGTGCATAAAATGTCATAAATGTGAATGGGTGATCTTCACAACCATTCTAGGATTCTACGAGCCTTTGACGTTGAATACGAAGGCACCCTCCCACCTGAACGAAAGAATTTGAACGAGAAAAATCATGCAGATAAACCATCATGAAGCGTCCAATTTTTGGGAGGTCAATCACTCAGAATGCCACAACCACGCGTTTCTTTTGCGCCTGAAGAGTAGCCGAAGTCCTGCTTGCCCATCCAGAGCCTGTAGTCAGCCCAAGATATTTGATGGTTGTTTCAACCCACCCCCTCAAAAACACTAATAACATGCCAACGTCATTTAGAAGGGATCGTCATCCCGTTTGTTTTTGGATGCATCAACTTAACACACTTAGCAATCAGTTCATTATCTGGTTGGTGGTTGGTACGCCAACCCCTCTGAAAAATGATGGAGTTCGTCAGTTGGGATGATTGTTCCCAATATATGGAAAAATAATCCAAATGTTCCAAACCACCAACCAGATATTGTTGACTTCTCTCCGCACCTCTTGTTCGCCTCTCAAGAAACCTTCGACTCATCCCATCATCAAATGGACAGCTCTGGGCAGATCCACCTGACGTTTCTGCTGAAGCTGTTCCGCCTCCTCTTGAGCCTTCCAGGCAGTTGCAAAACCCAGAATCCCCTCGTTTTCACGCAGAAACCACCCAAAACCTCTTGTAGTCTGGTAGCGTAAAAAGATGTAAAAAGTATGATGGCAATTGATCCCCGAATGGGATTTTGATGAATTTTGGACAAGTCTACAACCACCTACAACCAACATCTTTCAACAAAATATTGGTACTCTACATCCCATCCACCTTTTCATCCAACGGCCTCTGCCAAGTGTGTCAGTGCAGGTGGCAACGAATGTGCAAAGGACCACCTCCTCCAGGTCCTGAAGGAACCGCGTGTCAACGCTGCCGTGGAAAAACCTGTGGAAGCCATGGAAATGGTGGGAATATGTCGGAATATATTGATATATTTTTATTAAATATAGATCACATATATTAATAGATCACGTATTACTGCTATTTTTGGGTGTTTTCCGAAGTTTTCCTAAGGGTGAATCACTATAGGCAGTAGGACAAAAAAGGTACGAGTACAGCCTTGGCTCATCCGTGGCCGTCCCATGAAGCCTTGTGACATCGCCTTCCTCGCCCAGCAAATTCGGCAAGTGAATGGATGCCTGCCACGGCACATCAGAAATGGGGATTTCATGGGGATTTCATGGGGATTTAACTATCAGCCATACAAGAGATACAAGAGGGATTCTGTGAAAACAGCCTCAAACAGCGACCAAAAATTAATGGATCGCCTCGCAAGCAGGCGGCCGGTAGCGACCGTGTTTCACCAGAATGTGACTGGCAGACACCTGGGATGCCAAACTGATGACATCTATTTCATGGGATTATGATGAATTATTGGGATCCAATATGATTTACCGGGGATTTCATGGGATTTTATTGCAATTATTGCACAATTTCCCAGAATTGCATTGAGCTGCATAGCCGCTGTTTGAAAAATTGCAGCCGACGGCACTGTAGTGGAGAGAATCCCTCTGCACTTTTTCCTGTGAGGATTGTCCCGCGGAAATAAAGAAATACGGAGTGTGCATTTGACAAACATCGCATTGAGTTGCTAATAGTTGTTAATTTGTATCTATTTGGCTCTTGAAACACCTACTGCATTCAAGCAAGTTTCAAATCATGATAATGATAATACTTGAACAGTCGGAAAAGTCAAGTACACGAATCCGGTCAATTAAAGATGTGCACAGTGTCCTTGCCATCAACAGGTGATAACCTGCATCGGTCTGCACCTCGAACACAGCAAGATACAGCAAGTGAGCAATCTGCTTCCGCTTCCCAATGTCCCAAAATTTTGGAGAATGAGATCAGAAAATCTACAAAGACCTGCGGAATCCTGCGGAAGTATGGAATTTTCAAATGATAATCATTACGTTACTTTTGACTATTTTCCTGGAGGCATCTTGAGGCTGTCCTTCCCACAGTGGGGAACACGTTCACTACCTGAGATTCACACAGGTCCCAAGGGCACCCCAAGCTCCAGCTCAGGGTCAAAAAGTGCAGCCTTCACCAAGACTGCCAAGACTCAAAGACAATACCCTCTGGTAAACTAACATAACTATGGAAAATCACCATTTTTAATGGGAAAATCCACTATAAATAGCCATTTTCAATAGCTATGTTAAATTACCAGAGGGTACCTCTCTTGAACAGTGGTATGGTATGAGCACACTGTTAGCACACAGATATTGATGGATGATCAGCCATTAGCCATATAACTGATCCAAGAATCTCCAAAATGCATCATTCATTTTCACCTGAATGACATCACGAAGCTGCGTTTAGCAGTTGCTTCATGCCATGTCATGCCCCATTCCACATTCGGCAACCTCAATGGCAGGGTGCATCTGCCCTCTTTCCACCTGCCGGGCCATGTCTGCCACGGGTATCCCCCTGGATGTTCTAACTTTCTACATATAAAATAGTACATAGGAAAATAATACATAATAATAGATAATAGTCTATGGGAAACATGGATTATTATGTCCTATTTTCTACGGGTTAAACTTAAACGTCAGCAATGGGATATCGAAGTATATCAACATCATCCAAGCGATTGAACCTAAACAACCATTAAACAGAAACAGCAACATGTATCCAAGTGCGGAATATCATCTTCCAAATTCCAATGGTTTGGTTCCATGTTAAAGGATTAAGGAGCGTAATCATAAATGATTAACTATGGCAATTGATAAGAAGCAATAATAATGAGTTGATTGAAGATCAATACCATTTCTTTACCCACCAAGGATACGAATGGAAACAATACCTAATCTTGATATCACATTAGCAATCCCCATCGCCTATAAAGTACGCCAAAAACCTGGAACAAAAAAAAAGGAAACCTCCATAATAAAATAAATATAAAATACACCAACCGTTTTTGGGAACTTCCCCCCGTCTTTTTGTTTTGTTTTTTTTTTTACCATCTTGATTTTTTGAATCTGACCTCAAAGATCTGAGCTGAAAGCCCGGAAGATCTGAATGCATAAATTTATTGGGAGCCTTGGAATCCTAATCACCCAATTATTCCATTCTCTCCAATGTCTATGAATCAAGTCTACTATCATCCAATCCCACTAGTCCCTGCGTTCCCAATATTTGATATCAATGGAATAATGGAGCGTATTTATGTTAAATGAATTCCCTTGATTTCCCAATATTCTTCTGAATATTTGATGTTCCCCTCCGCTAGCCAAACATGGTGTGTTGGAAAATCCAACATTTAGTTCGATGATCTGCCGGAAACCTGCATGTTTTGGGGAATTTCCAATTGCCATGTTTGATTACCACATTGGATTGGTTTTGTAGGGAAAATCTACAGGAAACCATGGTTTTTACCATCAAATATAGGGCTTTCCTGTAAATTTTCCCATCATCCAATTACCACATTGAACCAATATTCCATTACTATCCCATGAATATGTCCTTCAAATTGCAGTGGTATTCCCAGCATATCCCCATGAAATTCCGACGGACCTCTCCCAAGTCTCCGCCATTGGATTTGGTGCCAGGGCAGGCTGAAAAGCTGGCGGCATTGTTTGCAAAGTCCTGCATCGCACTTGGTAAGTGGTTTATAATCTATGTGTTTTCCGATATAATTTGATATCATCCCATATATATAAATACAATGGGGGACACTCCATATATAGCAGTTATATGACCAAAGATATCTAAAGATAAAATAGAAGGCAAGCAGTGTGGTCCAGCTGCTGGTCCCTCCTTTTATTAGTATCACAGTTGCTTCAGCCATCTTAAATCCATCATCGCTGGAAATCTCCTCCGGGCTCTGCACCAAAGGTAGCAGGGCAGCGCAGAATTGCTCTGCATCCAGTGGTCCCTGGGCGTTCCGAACGGTGACAACCGCAGGTCGCTTCAGCCATGTTCAGCCGACACATTCGTCAAAGCCCATCCTCCATGGTGTTCTCTTCCCTGTCCTGCGAAAACGAACGGTGGCTCTTCTCAGATCAGTTCCACCTTTAGCTGAAATGGGCTGTCCTCGTCAGCATTCTGTCCAACCTCGATCTTCCACAAGACCTGCAGCCAGGTCAAACAACCACAGAAATGCTGTAGCACGCATTGGCATAGATATGGAGGTTTCCATAAATGGGGGTACCCATGGGTACCCCAAAATGGATGATTTATAATGGAAAATCCTGTTAAAATGAAGTGACATGAATCAATGCCACCAATTTAAGAAACCTCCATATTACTCGTAGAACTCCTGAAGCCCTGTGGAGCCTGAATGTGTTCCAGCTTGAAAGGCTCTTGATGACAAAAGGCTGGGATGAAGTAGTCATCCTGCAATCATCGGCTATCTCCATGTGCTGAAAGCAGCTCCTTGATCTTAAAGGGGGTTGAAGTGGACTTGCACAGTCTTCAGGCATGGCTGTGCCATTTGGTCCTTGCCCTTGTTGACCATCAAGTCTTCAGGCACGAAGAAATTGTCCCAGAGCAAGCAGAATTCCAAAGTCTTCATTGGCTTCATCGCCAGGAAGCTGAAGAGTTCTTCAAAAGCTGCCTGCCCATTTTGGTATGGGTCAAAATTAGGTACCCCAATAATTGGATGGTTAATACTAAACTAGACTAACATCTGTGGTCCCACATCGGTCTTCCATTTTGACCCACATCCATTTTGGTGTCACGTCACGCAGCAACAGCCTTAACCACACCATTGATCCCATCAATCCCATCGATCCCATCGTTTTTGGATGGTGCCTTCGCAGAATCTCTTACAGCCACCAGCTCATTCACAACCAAGGACGCCTGGCTGGGGAATGAGAACATGGCCAGTGCCCTAAACACCGCAAGAATCTGATATAATCTGACATAATCTGACACGTTTTTTTGTTTTGATGATTCTAAAATCCGCCCGCACCGAAGGTGCTGGGGCGTGATCTTCCGGATGGCACTCGTAAAAGGTTACAGGTTTACCTGGGGGGGGGTCCCATTTTTCGGCCAAAACTTCCTGTTTTTGATAGGTCGTGACGCTCGCCTTCAAAAAACACTGTAAAAAACAGTACGGAAGACACCTGTTCGTGAACGCGCCCGTCCAAAATCGGCAAGCGAAAAGTGAAAAAACCCTGTGTTTTTCAACTTTTTGACCTCAATTTTTTGGTTTGCAACATCTTTTTTTGCGGTTCCGCAGGTGGCCGGGCCCGGAGGCGGATTTTTGAGTTTTTGGACCCGTTTTCGGACTGATTTTCGTCGTTTTGTGATAGCAGAAACACTGGTTTTTACAGTGTTTTTCTGTTTTCTGCATGCTTGACGGCTAGCTTCAAAACTTCCAAAAACCTCGTAAATTACGCTGTTTTATGTTACGGTGTGAATGAAAACATCGTAAATACCAGTGTTTTTTGACGTTGGTTAAAAAAACACTGTAAATTACAGTGTTTTTGGCCACCTGACCCTCAAAAACCATGGTATTTGCAGTGGTTTCTGCTTCTCACCGCGCAAAAACACTGTAAATAACAGCAATTTCGCCGTTTTTTCATGTTTTTCGTTATTTTTTGAACTGCGTTGGTCCGCTATACATGGCTATCAAATTCTTCGCGTTTTTTTTTCCGACAATCAGTACTTTCGGATGTTTTTGGTCTCAATGGCCGACATCATTGGCAGTTACGAGCGGCTGCCCAACGATGCGGTGCGGGCGGTTGCCGTCGCGAAGCGACGTGAATATTCCACAATATTCAATCTTCCAAGAATTTCTAAGTTTGGGCATGCCGTCTGATGCTTGCTTGATGAGAAATTGGATCCCTGCACCTGTTCCAAGTCCTTCACATTCTGTGCATCGGGCAGCATGCTCAAAGCGTCCTTTCCCCGGCATGCTGTGTTTGCATCCAAGGGATCAACTGCACCGCTGCACTGCTGCACCTGTGCCTTTACCAAGCTGCACTGCATGCCTGTTACCTGCCAAGAGTGCTGCGACATGAGATCGTGCCATCAATTGTGCCATCTATGTGTGGTGGCAATGGGCCTCTTCGTCCACAGTCTCCAAGACGTGAACGACCTTGCATCTTGCTGCATTGGCTGTTGTCAAAGCTGCACACATTGGTGTAGCATTGATGTAACATGGTTTAATTCACCCGAGTTTGCCATGCTCTTGCTGTCTAGCATCCGTCTTCGTCAACTTGGCCGTGCCTACGGCGTCCTGGACCACATTTTATGACGGGAAACCATATCATAATTGCCATAATTCATGTCATGAAGTATCACAAGCGCTTTGAGAAACCCTACATATTTCTTGTGACACTCTCAGCAAATTCACAAGGCTCCTTGGAGATCGCCCTGCCAATGGTTGTCAGGAACTCAAAATCATTGTATAAATGTCTGCATGTTTTCTATTGTTTTCTATTGTTTTCTCATCGTTTCAAGCTGTCGATGTTTCCATCAACCTGGGGTTTCCATGGGTTTCAAAGGTTTCCCATCTCCAAGTTCTTCAAGGTCACGCCTCCTCACATTCAGAAAACAAGGCCGCAATTCCTTGAAGAGTTGCTCAGCCTGATCAAGTCAAACCTCACACCACAATACTGTGGTAAACGCAATAGTAAGCCGGCCCAGTATCCAACATATCTAACCGGTGGCCGTTTTACATCATCCCATTGTTAGGGGTATACCAGGGGCATGATTTACGGATTTGCCACAATATTCCGTCATATTGCATCAATATTCCGTGCTCGTCCCTATTCATTGATGTACGCGACAAAATGCGACAAGTGAACAACATACTTCTGTTAAAAGTCAAGCGCATCAAGCCTGAAGTGGCATCTGCTGGCACAACACCTCGAGGATGAAGTGCCGCAAATCCTTCCCTTCAGCATCTTGCACGCCTGCATCACCACGAATCGTTGGCTCTGAAAATGAGGGTGTACGCAAATGGCCGTTTTCATGGGGAAAATGATCGAACCATCAAAGCAGTGGATAAATGATGATAAATGCACGTTTTGAGACTGACGGTGAATCATGGTAAACCCGTGGATTTATGGGCTTTCCTCAAGATTTTCAGAACCCAAATTAGTCGCAAATGGATGACAAAATCCATGAAAAGGGTATGGAAAAAAAGGCGTGAAGATATCTTTTGAGCCTTGCAACTTCTCCATCTCACTCACGTCGAATCCATCTGCTTGACCTCTTTGGGTTCCTGGTGCGTCCAACTGCACCAGCTGTGGGATTCACCCAATGCCACAAACTATCTGGGAATGATTTCAAATCCCATCCATGGCAAGTCATGGTTTATGGCAAAATGAATCGATAAATATATATATATAATTATATATATATATTATAAAGTTTCGAACAGGCCCCGCCTCCATTCAAATAGTTTCCACTTGCCAGGACCACTGCAAGGAAGTCAGGCAGCGCCTCACAAGTGAAACCTCCCCTAGTTGAGTTTGAAGCAAACCAAAGACTTGACAAACCATCGGATCTCATGGAACCTCACCTCTGAGTATTGGAAGCACTGAGCAATATCCAAGAGCTCCTGTCACTTTGTCGAGCGCAATGCAATCAATGCAAAGACCAAGCATGCTCAGCTGTGATTCGTAGGCAATTTAGCTTTGGAGTTTCGGAGTCCTCCAAAGCCTCTGAGCATGAAGCTGCAAGTTGCCTCGACTGTGGGCACGCAACCACATCCAAGATTACAGTTGATCTCACAATGTGAGACGTGAAAGAAACACATTCCGCAAAAAAAACAGGTCTTGAATCGGTGTTCAGAAGGGGGTCCAAAGCACCATATTTTCCCGCGGCCTGTAGCTCATGAGAAAGGCAGCCAAGGCCAGCCGTTCCTGAGATGAAATGCACATATGTCTGTCTGACAATGCAACCAAGAAAACAATCTATAATGATTGAGAAAATCATCTTCAATTGCCAACATATTGGTACATCTTTCTATTTTTTTTTACAAAACCCATGGCATGCCATAGCAGAAAACTCTGAAAAATGAGATCCTGACTTGAAAACCTTGTAGAGCACCCAACTGATTCCTGTAGTTCGCCTCCTCTGGAACGTCCGACGCCTGACACACATAGCCGGGGATGCGTTTCAGCATGATCTGGCCAGCCAGGCCAGCCAAATGAGGCGAGGCAGTGCCTCTTCAAGAAGCATCTTCTCCACCTGCAAACTCTAAATGCTCAATATATATAGGTGCTCAATCAGTGTTTGTCTCCTGGGATTTGTTTTGCAAGCTCGAGTCTGCACTCATGGAATGCTCACTGAAGATAGTCCGCAATGGATCGTAGTACTTCTTCCCTTCTTTCACTGATTTCATCATTTTACATACCACAATTTACCTCATTTGAGCGCGTTTGAAATTGGTATGGGTACAGCCCCAATTGAAAGTTCAACACGAAAAAATATGCAGGTTTCCTAAGTCAGGGGAGTACCCCAATCATCCATTTTTGTTTGGGATTTTCCATTATAAACCAACCATTTTGGAGTACCCCATTGATGGAAACCCCCATATGTTCCTCACCTGCTTCAGCTGATCAGGCGAACATTGGCATGGCGAAGTTCCAGACGGCTCCTGCAACTTCCCCAAAGCGCCGCTGGTTGATGAACCAACTGGCGGATTTATAGTGTGGAAAGATGTCGGAAATATGTTTAGTACTTACGGGATTCACACATTATATACTGTAATTTCCACGGTAACTACATCGAAGTATACGGATGTTTACATAAACTGTTATTTGAGACTACCTGCGGGAAAGTTTTCCTTGGCCCGCCCGACTATTCAAACATACAGATTCCAATTTATTTAATTGTACCATACTGTACTATACTGTACTATACCTCCGGTGCCTTGCAGTCTAGCCCGCCCTCCACGTATTTAAATGTCGTTACCGTATGGTTAGTTCATGTTAGTCCTGATTCATGGGGGTTCCAGATAGTGGACATTAGTGGACTAATAATCCATAATCCCGACATATTCCCACTAAATGGGCGCCTTCAGGAGCTGCAACAAATCTTCCACTTTGGGAAGCTGACGGGCCAGCGCGGCCCACCTCTGTTCGCTCTCCTGGCGGTTTCTCGGTTTGGTCCAAAAGAGTGGGTACCTAATGGTACCTGGTACACCTCCAACCAGGCGGTGGGCATCATTTTCATTCATTTTCCCCATGGCAGGGGCCATTTTTAGACAGCCTCATGGCGAAGGTTTGCTGTGAAATCTGCGGTTCAGTGGCTCCTTTGCACTTTCTTCGAACCGAGATTTAGCCTGCAGCCATCATTTCAGGCGGTAAACAAGCAGCACACTTCAAGAGAAATCAAATGACATCACCAAATCAAGTGCAACTTGAAATTTACTTCAAACTTATCTCCACATGTTGTAATCTATTTCCAACATCATTAGTTCAAAATTAGTCCAAACTTGAGCTATATGTCATATTATGTCTCAGATGCTGTTTATCAGGACCAGTTGGACTCTCTGCCACCTCTTTGGCCACTCTTCGCTTCTCAGCTTCTGCAACGGCGTGTACTGAGAATCGAGACCTCAAGAGTTTCTGAGGTGCAACACTTTGCCTTGAAATAGATATTTCTCAGAGTTTTGCCCGATCAAAATTCCATCATTTCAGACCTAGCCCGTATGATGTTTTACTTTTTCATCATGTAATTATATATAATTATATATATATCATTATATTATATATATATATACTCTCTCTCTTTGGTTGGTGGATGTTTCATTGTGTATACGGCATTGTCTGGAAACAGCATACCCGACGTCCATGGGCATTGTCATGATTGTCCCGTTTCAGGCGTTTTTTTTTCGTATAGAGATGTTTAATTAATGTATACGGTATATCGTGTAGTTCCCACAGGACAAAGATGGACAAAGCATGACAAAGCCGTATGATACGGTTGGATTTGCCCACCAGCATAAGCGGTTGTGATTTGCCATTGAACTTGAAAGAATTTTGGAAGATCTGCACTAGCGAGAGGCTGCAATTCGGCAGGTGATGCTGAAGGAGCTGCATGGGCCTGCGAGGCAATCAGGCTGGAAAGTGATTGGAAGAAACTGGATTTCCAAGGATTTCCAGTGGGTTGGTCTGGGTTGGTTCAAAGACAAAAGAGAAAAATACGGGAAACACATAGTGTACAGCATGTTTTTTGTCTGAAAATATTGGGCTTTTATAGAAATAGATTGGGTTCACTGAGATGATCGTCGCATTATCATCATATGCCTGATAGGATGATATTTTTAGTGTTTTTGTGTAGTGATGCCTTACAAAAACTAGAAATACCCTCTGGTAAATTAACATAGCGAACTGGAAAATCACCCATTTTTAATGGGAAAATCCACTATTAATGGTCATTTTCAATAGCTATGTTAAATTACCAGAGGGTAAGTTCTTCGAGTCACTTGATCTCAGTCTGGTTCCACTTGAAGATCTCGAAGTGTTGCAGTGTGGAACGCAGTAGTCTTTGGTTTGGCGCCTCCACTGCGTTCCATACGCTGGGGCCTCAAAGCATGGTTCCAGAAGCAGCGGCTAACCCAGTCAGTGATATTAGTTGATATTGTCGTCTGTAACCAATGGACCAAGCACTCGGCCACTTGAAACTTCAAGCTTCCTGCAGGATGCAGGGTCTTGCAACTTCACATCCCTGGTCTCTCAACATCTCTCAACTCTTCGGTTTCATCGGTTTCTCAGCCTCCAGGGGAGCAGTATCAAAGGAGTATGCTCCTTTCTTCTGGTTGGAGAACCTTGCTTCGGCTCAGGTCACAACGCTTTCTCCCGAATATTGCCCAAAAATGGTATACGATTTATACAATCATGATTTACAACAATTGAGATTTACATTACATATAGAACTACCCCTTCAACCAGTTCACCATATTTCTGCACTTCATCTGCACTTCATCTCCAAGCGCATCATCCTTAGGCCTCCCTGCGCAGCGACAACGGACTGTCCTGAGGCTCGGCAGGTGATCGGGAGCGCTGCCTCTGAAAAGGAGGATCGCCTTCCTCTGCCGAGAAGGTCCTGACATGGCTCAGAGATCTACCCACCGAAAATCAGAGGGCAAACTCCTGGTATGGTATGGACTTGTCTGGAACATCCTGGAACCATCTTGAACCCCAATTTTGGACACTTCAATATACTTCAATGTACAGAGTAAGACCAGCCGTTGAAGTGATTCAAGTGGGTCCATTGGTGTTGACAGAAGCATCACCAATAGACATGCTGCAACATCACATGACATGAGCAGAACTGCCTGCAATGTGGCTCCTCTAAACTCAACGCTGGAAACAAAATCCCGCTTTCGTCGCAACATCCCAAACCGTCGAACGCCGTCGAATCCATCCATGGTGGTCTGACAAATGCAGTCTTACATGATTTGATGCGGTCGAGTTGCTGCCACAGAGCTTGGAAATCTTCAAGCAAAAAAGTCTCTCCCTGCAAGGCCGGAATTGAGAGGAGTTTAGACTTGAATGGTACCAACTGGAAACAATTTCAAAGACTCCAATGCATCAGCAAGTCACTATAGCATATTATAGCATATTATAGCCACCTTTTTCTTAGCCATCCATAGCCATCCTCAAGCACAGCTATCAGCTATCCACCACCTTTGTGTCAAGCGGCCTGACAAAAAACTGCCTCGAAGGTGTTATTGTTGTGCCTGGCAGTCGGTCCCCTGATGCTGGTTGGTTAATAGAGAATTCCCGGAATCCCCTGATCTAATGGATCCAGCGATATTCACTATATTATAGGATTATATTAACCAATGCAATCATGAATATATATGAATATATCAGGTTAGTCACCTATATTAACTGGCTAAGGAACCAATATCTTGGTTAGTTTTTGTTAATATAATCCTATAATCATCACCCAACGGGGTGTGGCACATCGTGATGAAGCCAGCCAGATGGACGACTCCTGGTAGCGGGCTAGAAGCAAATCTCCAGGAAGTAAGAAGTTGTCCCACATGAGACAGAACTCACTGCTCCTGGACAGAGAGAAACAAGCTTTACATTTGCAAAGGTTGGGGAAAAGGTTGGGTATATGATGCGAGTTGAACGAGTGCACTGGTCTTCTGTCCAAAGATTCAAGATAGTTTTTCCACGAAGACATGGTTTGCAGCTAAGCTGCAACTTGCTTACATTATAAGAAGTCTCGTTAAAGTTCAAAGCTCTGCAAGTAATTAAGCTCCTGATGCCCGTGGTTTGAAGCCACTTCAGCAGTTCCTCGTACTTCAACTTCAGAGCATCGCATCTTTGTGCCACATCATCAACGGCGAGCGAGGCTGATTGAAACTCCCTTTCCAAGCGCAGCTTCACAGGATCTGTGGAATCGAGAGGACCCAAGCATTCACCCAGGGTTTCCTTGATCTTCAAGTACTCAGCCTTTAAAGAAGAGATCGTTTCATCACAGTCTTCCAACGTCACATGCACTGATTTGCTGATCCTGACTCCATCATTGTCTTTGACCACTTTACGGCTGATGTTCTGTAGAATAGGACTTAGAGCCTCCAGCAGTTCAGCTGCTTGGCTCTTTAGTGAGTCAAAGAAATCTCGGAAAATCAGGTGCTGCAAGCTGTTGTCACTTCCTTTGATGTCGTGAAGCTGCTGCAGCAACTCCAAATCAAAGGCGACAGCATCGCCATTCTCGGTCCCCGAATTTAACCAATTCCCAGTGGATAGAATTGATCCAAACAAGGCTGGAAGAGCTTCGCATTGAATGCTGGAGAACATATCGTCCAGATCTTGCAAATGTTCGCTGTGGCAAGAAACTCTCTCACGGTAGGTTCTGATGAAATGCCAACAAGCCATGCGTTCGCACAGGGCAGGAACCTTGCTAATAGCCAACCAATATTCTTCCATCCGTCCGACCGATGCATCTGGTTGATTTTGCTGTGCCTGCCTCAGTGCTTCCAAATCTTTAGCCGAAGGTGCCAGTAGCTGAATTCGCTCCAGCTCATCAAGGGCCAGGCGATCGTCCAGGTCCATAAGACTTCGACCAACTTCATCCGGTGGTGGCAACAGTCGTAGCTCTCGTTCATGCACAGCACTGATGCGAATGACCTGTGTGGCCTGAGCAGTTTCGGTCTCTGCTGGCTTGGGAGTCTGCACCTTGCCGAATCGAGCTTCCATCTTTTCAATGGGCAAGAGGCTTGTTTGATCGCTCACCTTTTCCCAAATGGCCCCAGATTTGATATCGGCGCCAAGCAGAAGTCGTCTCCACCACAAAGGTTTCATCGCCTTTGTAGGTTTGATTTCCGGTTTTGTCAAAGTCTGACCCTTGCCACGTCCAGCACCTTTGCCTTTTCCACCTTTCGGCCCTGCAGCAGGCCCTGCAGGCCCTGCAGCCGGCCCATCCCCAGATTTCGTTCCAGGCCCTTTACCTTTTGCTTTCCCGTCCATTGTGAAGACTTTCTCAGTGGGCCTCACCCAAGCTCTGAGAAAGAATCGAACCAATCCATGGCATGCGCCTAAAAAGGAGAAAAAATACTCAAAGCTCCCAGTTTGCAAAAGCCGTTGCCTCACGTGCGTTCAGATCAAATGTTGTAAAAACACCCTGGCTTTGACAAGTGCTGACTCCTTTTGAATTCCAGTTGCAACAATTTGTTGCATGCGGCCTGTGACTTAATTTTCTCTTGTCTACGCTCCATGCTCGTTTTCAGCACTCCAGGCTGTCATCCGCACAAGTGCTGACTAATTATCAGCAAATATTTAGATTGTCTCAGATCGGTTGGGCTTGTTGATGGTATGAAGTTCAAATGTTTGGAAAACTGCATATTAGTATATATTAGTATGGTTGTACAACCTGAACATTATCAGGTTGTGTGAGATGTGAGTTGCCAGGCCAACACAACAGGCAATCGGTTGCTCCTTTTTGCAGCAATAGCAATAGGACAAGACTCGATTGGCTACGAGCTGCTTTCTAAACCTCACAGGGAAACAAATGTCCAGCACCAGTTGTTATAAGTCGATATATCGATACACATATAATTAATGATATATCCGCCGGCCTGCCGGCGTGTCTTGTGGATCTTGCTTGTTTGTAGTTGTGCTGTCTGTTTGTCTTTGTCTTTGGCTAGATTTTCCCCCTCCTTGATTTTTGCCTCGTCTAACTTGAACCCCCCTCCCACGCCTCGCTCAACACCGGCTTGGTTTTGCACACCTTGCTGTCATTTCGATGGTTGTTTCCGTTTTTTTGTTGTGTTTGCCATCGGTTTGCTCCGTCGCTTCTTACATCCAATACTTGATCCGCTGGATTTTGTGCCGAACACCTTTACACGCATTATAATGACCCTTCTAAATATGGCTTTTTCCAAAGCTTTTCTCAATATGGCCTTTTCCAAAACCCTGGCTTACACACATGCTTTGGTTTAAACTCAAACCGTGGTTTGAACAAAACCAATGTTTTTGCGTCCAAACCCTCTTTTACACAAAGAGCTGTTTTACACAAAAACTGTGTTATCCACAAACACAATGTTTTACACAAAAACCGTGTTCTTGCTGGGCCTGTGCAAGGGCTGTTTGCAGCTTACAGGATAGCTCTTGCCCTGGTGGCCGGCGGAACACGCCGAAGGCGGTTAAATATATGGGAGTTATCCCATAGTTTACCCTCCAAATCGCAGTCATTTAAGGCCAGGACGATTCGAAGCATGGTGTCTCCATATCCAGCTGATTCTTTGTTCTGCTCAAACAGCTGACAAACTTCTTCAACATACCTGTCAAGGCAGAATTGAGTCAAAAGGAGCCAAAAAGGACTCAAGACTCAATCAAAAAAAGTCAACAAGAAAATCAGCAAAAAAACAACACGCTGCAAATCACTGCAAGCACAAAATACGCAGAATTGCCTAAGAATTTTTGATGGAAAATATGCCCGTGGCCACGTTGACCCTGCCTGGCATGGTGCTCCTGCAGATCCTGACTTGTGTGGTCGGGCAGCCTGGAGCGTTGGAAAACTCTGTTGAATGCAACGAAGTCATGCGGTAAACCCAACAATAAGCCCCAATGTTTGATGGTTAAGACTTAAGACCAAGCCGTAGCCATTTCTGATCATATTCGGGATGGTTTTTCATTGAGTCTACCATGAATACCTCGAATTGGTCTACGTAAGTCTACGTAACCATCAATTTAATGTACCCAGTTCTGAATGCTTGAAGTATACCAAAGTTATAACCGCATACCCTGTCGATCCCTGCGATCCCTCCAAAATTCTTCGGCCTGGGCATTGCAACAGGCTTTCCTACCACCATCCTGATGGGGTCCGGAAACTTGGTGAAGGGCCTCAAGACTGGCGACAGCAGTAGCCCAGACTGCTAGGTCATTATCCTGGGAACATCCTAAACGGTAAAAACATCTGCCGCTACGAACAACGGTTTTTCACATCCCAAATAGCTGGTCTTGGATGTTCATCCTCCCATGCAAATGTTATGATTGTTATAGGGGATATATATAAATATACGTATAGTATGTAGGGCTATTCACCTCCCATTTTTGTTCCAAGGTACAGTCCAAAAGGACCATAGGGCATCACCAGGGCAATGCCTCCCGCACAAGATGGTGCCTCACAAATCATCATATTTACGGGATATAGTTTACGTTAGCATAATTAATTATCATACTTTAATGGGGACATAACGATCATACTGGGATATCGAAATCAACAAAATATGGAGTATTTAAATTTGTCTTCTTCTCAAAATTGGACCCTGGAGTACCCCAAACAATTGGTTCCCCCATTAAGAATTACCCATTTTAGGCGATTTTGGGGTGCATTTTCGGAACCTCCCATGTTGTCCCTTGTCATTCAGTGTCATGCCTTGCCATTAATTACTCATCGGCCTAACTTTTTCTGAATCCACGACCGAAGGCCGAAGAGACACTTGGACTGTTTGAACCTGACCAACTGGGCGACTCAAAAATGAGGTACCAGTGGACGCACAAATCGCGATGGACATTGTATAAAACTCGTACTCGTATTTAACCATCCTATATTTATATGTCGGTGGTCAATAATGTTGATCAAATATGATCAAATCCTATTTCCACAAACTTGGCCAACTTTGCACTTTGCACATGCTGCGCTTGTGGCGTTCTCACGCTTGCATTGGATGCTGCGATTCTGGGTACCCGGCAATTGAGCCTCTCCGAAGACGTACACAGGGACAATCCTGGCTTTGGAAGTCTTTGGACTTCGGTACATTGACACGTTGAAAGCCACAGTATGCTTTCCAATCCCCCAACATCAGGCTGGCTGAAACGAAAGCAAACTTGTTCTCAAACTGGCGTAGCGTAGCTGGGGGCAATCAACATCAATCAACGCCAAGGCAGACGGCACTCCGTGTTGGAGAGCCAATCGAACAAAGCCCTGGCTGGTTATCGACATGATCCAACTGATTCCAACTGAGCCATTCAAAACATCTTCCGCCTGACGCTGCTTCAAAACTAACTCCTCAACCTGGCCGCGCCTCCAGGGCGTTGCAGCGGATTTTATCGTTGGGAAAGTGGTGGTGTGAGATATTTGGTGTCAGATGTGTCGGTGTATTGGATTGTATTGGCGCGTTTCTTCGTGTGCTTGATGCACTACTTCATTGATTACATGAATCATTCATTTACTGATTGCCTGCTTGATCGGCTGCTTGATCGATAAACTTATGGATTGATTGGCTGGTTGAGTGAGCAAGCGAGTACTACAGATGCTATCAACAGGAAACACTACGCAGCAGACTAAAAACTATCAAAACCTACTTCACGTTACATGTTACGACAATGGATTGGAAAACACAGTAGCAAATCTTAGAAGAACCTCGCCAGAGCCCTTCAATAGTGGATTGCAAAGGACGGACACGGTCGAGTGATTGAACCGCGGCGATTGAGTTGCAGGGCAAGGGTTTGTTGTACTATGGTGAACTTGTTTGTTTTGCCAAGTAAAGGTAGTTGTTTATATAACCTTATATATATATATGTCTTAAATACATACTATATCATACCATACCAAACCAGACTAGACCATTCAATTGTACTACATTGCATTACATTACATTGCATTACATGCAATAAGTAAATATATCATATCCGTACAATATCAATATAAGGGTTTCCTAGAACGGGGGTACCCCAAGTCACCATGGTTGTTTCAATACGAAATCATGGTCATCCATGACTTGGATGATTTAGGGATACATCCCTGACTTAGGAAACCTCCATATAGTTCATATAGATCGTATATGTATAATAATAGTAGTATATATATAATAATGTTGGGTTAGGATTAATAAAACCCCCAAATTAATCATACCCCTTTTCACCGGATTTTTTTGGGCAATACTAAAGTCCTCTACGTGCTGATTTCCCCCCCTAATAATGGAACACTACCCCCGAATTAATCATACCCCTCCGGGATCCCCAAATTTTTGGTGGGACTAATTTGCTATTACTCCCTTTTACTTTTTAATTCGGGTTACAATTTCCAGGGTTACTTCCTATTTTGGTTTACCATAGGTATTCTTATCTTTTCTCATTGGAATCTGATGGTTTACCATTCATTTTCGAATCTTCCCTCATAGGAATTTGATGGTTTCTACGTGGTTTCCTCATCTTCCCTCAGATGGTTTACCAAAGGTTTTCTGATCTTTTCTCATTGGAATTTGATGGTTTACCATAGTTTTTCTCATCTTTTTTCATAGGAATTTCATGGTTTACCATTCATTTTCGAATCTTCCCTCATAGGAATTTGATGGTTTACCATACGTTTTCTGAACTTTTCTCATAGGAATCTCATGGTTTACCATTCATTTTCGAATCTTTCCTCATAGGAATTTAATGGTTTCTACGTAGTTTCCTCATCTTCCCTCAAAGGAATTTGATGGTTAACCATAGGTTTTCCTATCTTTTCTCATAAGAATTTGATGGTTTACCATAGGTTTTCTGAACTTTTCTCATAGGAATCTCATGGTTTACCATTCATTTTCGAATCTTTCCTCATAGGAATTTGATGGTTTCTACGTGGTTTCCTCAACTTCCCTCAAAGGAATTTGATGGTTAACCATAGTTTTCCTATCTTTTCTCATAAGAATTTGATGGTTTACCATAGGTTTTCTGAACTTTTCTCATAGGAATCTCATGGCTTACCATTCATTTTCGAATCTTCCCTCATAGGAATTTGATGGTTCTACGTGGTTTCCTCATCTTCCCTCATAGGAATTTGATGGTTTACCATAGGTTTTCTAATCTTTTCTCATAAGAATTTGATGGTTTACCATAGGTTTTCTGATCTTTTCTCATAGGAATCTCATGGTTTACCATAGGTTTTCTGATCTTCCCTCTGTGCAAGGGCTGTTCTTTCAGTAGGTCGAAGCCGCGCTATTGCCAAACACACTGGTTTCAGAGATTTTTGTGGGTTGGCTCAT